TTAGACACCAGACTAATCACAAGACAGGACACAAGTGCAACAGGTGAACACAATCAGACTATCACTTGGAAACTAAAGACAGGAAGTAAAACTAGACAAGACAAAGAGGTAAGACATTTCAAAATAAAACTAAACAGACCGTGACACCAAAGCTGTCAGCCAGACTTTGTTGTTCAACTTTGACCTAACATTCTCACCAGTTGTTCCCCAGCTGACGCATTATTTATATCATCAAATGAGACCATTGTGGGTTTGCTCACTTTGGTTTACAACCTGTATCAGTGTCTGACCAATTTTATTTGATTGCCTCAACAGAGCTATTTGTGGGTATATTTCTTCATATCATAATTAATTAATTAAAGGTCAGAAGGCCTGAGCTACACACATAACACCTGAGTTCTATTTAATCATAGTATGTATTTAAAGTTACAGGACTTTAAATACTACTAAAGTGTGGAGTCATTTGAGGAGGTCCATATGAGCTTCAGCATATGACAGCTTCGTGTAGGCCTTAACCCTTTAACACACAGCTATAAATCAAGCTTTAAGTGTTCCTCTCTTTGAGAGTAAGTGTTAAAATGCATTTTAAACAGTTAATTGCAATGTCAGAGGTCCTCACAAAAAGGTAGCACTTTGTAAATGTGTGTGTCTCAGATATTGGTAGAACAAGCCTTTAGCAAACAGCTTTATATTTACAAGCCTGCCCATGCATAACATTGGTTTCTCTGTTAAACAAACACAATCAGAGGCAGGACATTTTCTCTTCAGCCTGACTCATTGTGATAAATGAATGCAGACAAAAACGCTGCCTTGACATCCTTGACTGGGATATTTTTTCTAAAGCCTTGGATGCATTATGCACAATATTTCAAAGGTTGGTATGTTAGAGTAAATGTCCTTCGCCTACAAGACACATTTTCAGCTTGGCGCCACAGAAAACCTTTTCCATTAACCAACCTGCTTCAACATGCTGTAGTTATATCATAACCCAGTTAAATACATCTGCATGTTTAATCCCAGTGACTCCAGTTACACAATGGCCATTGTGGCTTTAATGGATTTTATGTATTAAAATAAAGGATTACAAGGCAGGGGCATCGGGGGGGCTGCACCTCCCCTCACCAGAGCTGTGACTGAACAGCGGCCCCAAGTGGTCACCACTGGTTATGTATGGAGACCCCAAAGAAATATGTGAATTCATAATTGTTTATCCTGCAAATGTTGCACTATTTAAAACACCTTTTTTACAGCTTTGGTCAATCATGATCAGTGTAAATGTGATTGGAAACTGCATCATCTTCAAGATGGGGAAACAGAATAGAAAGGCCTTTACCTCATTTAAACTGCATCAATTATTCAGGCCTGCTAATTAAGTTATTGTTGGTATTCAACCCAACCACAAAATCAGGCATAATAGTCTGAGATTAATAAGAAGGGAGTGTTTTGATTATATTAAAAGCATAACAAATGTGTCTGGAAGCTTGTTTACACCCCAACATGACTCAGGGTGATTCTTGGAAAATAGTTGATGTTTCCAGAATATGGTTTGTTAAGCATTGCCAGTCATAGCATTCATCCATCAAAAGTGTTCTTCTTAATTGTCTGACTCACGGCCTGGATCATATTCCTCTGGGCTGATGATCTATCTGTTTCCTGAAAGATGTGATTATGTTGCTTTTTTTTTAACACAAGATCAGCGAGATTATAGGGATAGGGGAGAAGGGGGTAAATTGAGCCAGTGGGTAAGTTGAACCACCCCCTGTAACCAGGCAATGCCTTATAGTTGTAATCAAGTGACCAGAAATTATGCAAGCTCCACCAATTTCTCATTCCCTGTGAAAGAGAGATACTCATTGTGGTCTGGTAAGTAAACATTTTTACAAAAAAACGTTTTTTGCTTGTCAAAGTACATTTTCTAGATGTCAGCTATATCGGCTGTCATGTAAAAAAAAAAAATTATCCAGGTTTAAACACATATATTGTATATGTTGATTTGTTGGCAGCGTATTAAACCATGTGAATCATTAAGCTAAAGATGACTCTGAATTTTAATGCTAGGCTATTTTTTCTAAAATGGTGGCTATGGGGTAAAGTGAACCATGGGCCTTGGAGTAAGTTGAGCCAGTTTTTCAATGGAGAAATTAATGAAAGTAGGCCAAGTTGATAATAAGAGCTCATTGTAGGCTACATTTAAAGTTGAATTTACCCTGTGTTTGATTGGTAAGATGTATGAAATTGTATCACCATTTGTATGATTACTTTTCCTTTTAACATGTTAAAAAATCAATCAATTCAATCGAAATTTATATAAAAAATATTTGAAAAACTAAGCTTGTATTTGGTTTGTTATTTATTGTTTATAGTTACCTTTAAGATTTGTTGTAGGTATGCCCAGGTTTGAACTGTGGTTCAATTTACCCCCTAACCTGGATCAACTTACCCCTACACTGGGGCAAGTTGAGCAACAAGACTTTTTTTTTTTAAGAAGTAATATTTTCACTGCGCTTGATCAAATATTAATTATTGTCATTGCCATTGATATGAGACATCCTGAATTATAGGTGTGTGTTTTCATTTTTACTATGTGTCATTTCTCCTTAGAGGACATCATAACAAAAAAATGGCTCAACTTACCCCACTCTCCCCTACGTCATTGCAGTAAAGCAAACAACATGCCCATATCCCTCTACCACTGATACAAAGATAATATGGTTTCATTGAACTTTTTAAATGTAATCTACATCATTTTTATAAACCTGAAAAGACACTAAATGAGTGCTAAATTAATAAAGCATCAAACTTGACTAAATCCTCGAACGTATTCCTCCCTTATCAGTCAGAGACAAATCAGAACTTCTGTATCATTAAAATGACAATTTAGCCAAAAAACATGTGATTGCAGAGCAAATACTCTTTGAATTTAGATGTAGACTGGTACGATAAAGATGGTAAACAAAGAGGTGGTCAGGATTGGTTTGAAAAGTTCCTATGGATACTTTTTTCCCCCTTTATCAAAGCACCATTTCGAAGACTATTAAGTATTGATTATTACACTTTCAGCTTTGGTTACTTCCAAAGCCCGAACCTCAACGTGTTTGACTTTGCTGCCAGAACATTGTAGATGTGAACATGACTACTTTGACCTCTATCTGTCGATCTTCTTCCTCGTGCCGTCCTGTCACTCAGTCAAAGATATCTTTGGCACAAGAAAAACCTGTTGCAGATTATCAGTGAGCCTGGCTTCGCTCTGACATTAGAAGCAGTTTTATCCTTCAATCACCAGCGCAGACATACAGGTACACACTGCAGGTCGGGCCCATTGTCATTCAAATATGAGGCTGGTGATTGAAGCGCTTATCACTCCTAATCGGAGCGTGTAAAGGTATTACTGCTGAGGGAGAGAGCGCCACACCAACTTTGATATGGAAAATCACATCTGGGGGCTCCCAAACAACATTATCTATAGAGAGGTGAATATTCCAGGAAAAACATTTCCTGCGACCCCTCCATCTGCTGTCTTGGATTAGCTCCATGCATGTTTTCTGTTTTTTCAGATCCTCAAAGAGAGAGCGAAAAGGACAGGAGAGGGGGGAAAAGGGAGAAAAATAAAGAGCCAAACACACATCTTGTTAAAAGTAATATTTGTAAGCTTATTATTTTTGTTATCATGATCATTGTTATAACCTCTGTAATGGTTTGTTCATTTTACATTTTATTTTCAAGTTCATTTAAAGTCATTCCAGTCGAAAGGTAAACATGATTGTAATTGTTGTTTCCAACACTATTAAATGCTTTTTTTTCTTTTGCCAGACAACATTCGGTCACACTCTCTCGCTCATACACACACAGGAAGAGCAGAAACAAAGAGACTGTTGCTCACCCATTCATTTGCTCACACACACATGTACACACTGACATCAGCACACACTAACACAGACAGCCTCTGATGCTAAAGCTCTGCACACAGAGATGAAGTGATGAACAGAAATAGGCTCTTACTCACTCTCTCTCTCTCTCACACACACACACACACACATCCATCCATACGGACACACACTTTCTTATTCTCGTGTCTAAGTTCTTAAGTGCAACTTCTTGAAGAGTTTGAAACCCTCTCCCTCCACACCAGGACCCACAACCCTCCCATCATGAGCCATATATACTGGGTCTTTAACACACTAATGTATTGATTTCAATGATGCTCCTAAACTACATGATCAATGTTTTTTTCCAAAGGTATAAACTCTTGTCTGATGTGACAGGAGCTACATTCATTAAAAAATGTGTGCTCTCCAAAGTTTTGTGGAGAAAGGAATCTAGCTAACTGTCAAAAACCATTGGGGAAGGTTACCCAGAACTACTAGCACACTGATGAAAATAGAACTTTATAAGTGGTTCCCAACCTGGTCGACTTAACCCAGACACAAATCTGACGAGTCATGGGATCGTTAAGCAAAACATTGAAATTCTACCGCACAATATCTGCTATGATTTTTGACTTTTTTCTTATTATTTTCCGGTTCTGATTAAGATGACTGGATAATTTGACCTGTTCAAGAAGTATAATCATCCCTTGGTTGAACAGTAGGTCTATTTTTCCTCAGATTTTAAAAAGTTCCCTATTTGTGACAGGAAACATTTTTACAACATGAGTAAAGTCATGTATGATTGATGAACTGTCCTTTAAAGGGGTCACTAGAAAAAAAAAGGGATGGGAACCACAGCCATAAATGATTTGTCAATATTAATATTTCTGGAAATCATACTAACCCAAGATAGCTTAACCTTAAAGTTGACAAAGAGACTCACACAGTGCAGCCCAGGTTTACATATGGCTCAACCCCAACCCCCCCTCAAGACAACGACAAATTCAGCACAGCAATTAAAAAATAAAAGATTAAAAAACAAGATTTAAAAAAACAACCACAAGGAAACTGAGCTTCAAGTCTGTAAAAATGCTTACAATACATTTCACCTTGCCAAATGTAAAGACATTGTTATTCCATTCTTTGTCCGTTATGACATTTACACGCGTACTTAAACGCCTCACATGCCGGTGGGTGAGCCGGTCAGCTCACAGTCCATCAAGGTCTTCATCATCACTAAAATCATCTTCACCATCATCATCGTTTTTATCAGCTACTATGGTAAGCCATGCCCTACTAGAGTCCATCGTTGGCAGGGTGGGGTAACCATGGTGAATAAGGGGCTAGTTGCTATGGAAACTATTCTGAAGCAACCGACTGGTACAGTTGTTTGAGTTTTGAATCGCCGCAGCTCCCCACCAAAGCACTTGGTTTTATGTACTGTATATTACTTGTTGCTTTAGTTTGTGTTTTTATTTTTATTTTATTTTTGCATTTTCATACGTATAAGATGTACATAATGTGGATGTATTTTCTGACCGTTAGTACCATTTAAAATAGTCTCTCTCAATCTCAAACACACATGTGGCACACTCAGACATATGTTTTCTCTTTCAGGCACACGTAACAATCAAACAGTAACAGAAAACTGTTTACATGTGGCATCTGATGAATGTGTTTACAGAGATGGCATTGGTGGAGCGGGCTGCTGCGCCACATTGATCAGTGGAGGGCTGCTTATTGTCCAGGACTGGACCCACTCATAGACGCCTGTGTGAGGACTGTCCTTCCTCCTTTGTTCCTGTTCCTCTTGCTCTCCTCAAAACAGCCTGCAGTGTGTTGAGAGGAGGGCAGTATTGCTGCGTGTTTCCATGGCTGCTCTGTAGCCATCGTGTTCTTCCTTAACCTCGGTACTTCAAATACAGGACAGAAAAGTAACACAGCAACTTAAAACATCAACAAACCCCCCGTGTCAATGGCACATCTACAATAAATCCCTTTTTGTTTTGTTTGAGTGAATGCTTCATTGTTTAAATGCTCTGTGTTTCCCCAGGACCCCGTCCAGCCCCTTCCATAGAGACGAGCTGATGGTGAACACAGGATGACACGGCAGACACCAGAGATGAAAACTAAAACACTGGCGTCTGGAGTCCCAGGGTGTGTTTATGAACTATCAGCTACTTCGACTAGTCTCCTACACAGGACCTGCTCAGTTCATCAGCTGGTTCCTTTTTTCTTTCGTGGACTGGGAAAAGTCTCCAGCATCAACATCAACAACAACAACAAAAAAGGCAATTTCAGTTCAGTTTTCATTAAATCTATCTGATTCAGTTCATTTGAGTTCAGTTTAATTCTTGTTGCAAGAAACTATGGCAACTAGCTCTAAGGAAGTGTTTCAGCCAATCACATCCAGGGGAAAGTCTTCAAATGGTTTTCAATTGGTTGGGTGGATTTGATGCTTTTTTTTTACTAGGATTTCAGCCCGGCCTCTCCTGGTGTATAAATGCTTTGTGTGGTGTGCATGATTCAACAAGCTCAACCTGTGGCTTGTTCAGACACACACAGACACACATGGACACACACACACAAACACACACTCACACAAACACACACTCAACCACACCTGCATCTGTATGCACAGGCTGACTTTAAAACATACGGTTCAGTTTGTGTCACCGAGTGCCTCAAGGTCTTTCAACTCCACGAAAACCACACACAGCTGAACACACACACATACACACACATACACATTCACACTGATGCTTGAAAACTCTAATTTCTTGCTCCTCTCGCCTTCTGCTCTATTTGTGGTATCTTAACTCTCCTCTCTCTCCTGACTCCCCCCTCCTCCCTCGACTCCCCCACCCGCTGATACTGTACACCCTCCCAAGGCTAGTTGGCATGGTGACACTGATGGGATGGCCGTTGCTAGGAGATGAAGAGAGCGGCCAGAAGGAGCATCGTCACGGTGAGGAGAAGGCGATCCCTGGACGGGCTGCTTCCGCTGACACTCTTCTCCAGTTTGGGAATGAAAGGGTTATATTCATCTGGAAAAACAGAAATGGAGAGAAAGAAGAGAATGAAGCAGAGTAATGTCTTCATTTAAACTCATTACAGTACAAGGAAAGGGAAGATAAGTCTATCTGTGCTTCTTATTGTGGTATAATCTGCTTACACAGCAGGGCTTTTGGTAAAACACTTTTTTAATGAAACTGACTGACTGAAAAAAAGGCAGCTTACAGCACAGCTACACACTCCCACTGAAATATAACAAGTCCACTACAAAGACATCAGCAGTGCCATTACAGACTGCTGCAGCTGTTATCAGGAAACTCTTATCCTTTTAATAAAGTGACACGCTGTTGTAACACACTTGCATACTTTAACAAAGACACACCGTATATAAGGAAACCCCCCTGCGTGTACACCTGGCGAATGATTACCTAAAAATAGTATGCAGTCCTTTGTTGCGTTGATGTCTAGTCGTACGAAAAACACCAGACAGTTCTCAGCACGCCAACACTTATGAGACACACGTGCGGCCTGACACACCCTCTGAAGTCAGTTGATTAATGAGACTTGAGGCCAGACAGAAGCACAATTTTCTGTCTATACACGGGACGGCTGATGCTGATTAGGAGCCATTGTGTTAATGGTGGAGTGGGGAGATTCTCAGTGTTTCCACTCGATGCCATATCTAGCTTTCCAGCTGCTCTGGGGGTCAGACAGCAGAGTAATGACTGGCTGACACCTGGTTTAAGAGATGGCCTCTTCTGGTATGCTCTGCAGGCGAATCTAATGAGCTCTATGCAGCGGTGGAGCTCAGGTTAAATGCTTTGACCGCTCTGTAACCGAGCAAGCAGCAGGGGGGGTCAGGACACTGTTACTGTGGCGCTGAGTGACATAGAAATGTGGTTTTAAAGAAACAAAACAGCAGACTGCGGAGCATCTCGCAAGACCGGTTCTAAAGTGTGGATCTAAGCGCCTCATACACACTTACAGTACACACTGTCTCTCACTAGCTGTCACAGATAAACACATCATTATCAGCACGTGTTATTGGTGCGATGTTTGTGCAGGAGCCATGTGACGTGCATCATGACCTTCTGACATGTTCCTGCGCCAAACATCAGCGAGTAAGCAGTGTGTATTTCAGTGTGTGTGTGTGTGTGTGTGTGTGTGTGTGTGTGTGGGTGGGTGCACGCATTTGTGCAAGCTACATTTTGGAACAGAAAAGCAGACAACATCCGCCTGATAATTAGAAAGCTCAGACACCTAGAGGCGTCTATGAATTTGAATGTCATGTTGACAAGAACAAGGAGATATTTTAGTCTCTGATTGTGTTTATGAGTATCTGTCCTAGTCTGCGGGGGGGGTGTGTGTGTGTGTGTGTGTGTGTGTGTGTGTGTGTGTGTGTCAGTAGCTAATTGACTGCAGTGTTTTCTGTATGAGCGTAAGTATAAAACTACGGTATATGCATGTAATATAATGTATTTCTTACTTTTCTCACATACAATATTTTTTAATGGGCATTTAGGATCATAAAACATTTTATACCAAACTATATAAATATGGTACTTTAATACCCCAGACTCTATTATCTATGTATGTATAATGATAGACCTGGAACTACCTGTATATTGTTACACAATCCATGCCACCCGTAACATAAAGTGTGTGAAAATAATTATCTTTAATTGTAGTTGTCAACAGGTGTTGATGCAACTATGTGGGGATGTTTGACATTCGGACTTGTGGTGTTCCCGAATCAGAATGTCCTCATTTGAGGGTCAATCCAGTGATTAAGTATTGCAACCCCATAAAGTTTGGGAGGATTAGAGACATCATTGATACTATAGTATCTTTCAATAGCCCCTCCCTGACTGGTTTATAGTCATGTCTTTCAACTCAAGACTCCTGCAGAACCACAAAGGACAGTAGACAACTGTTTAAGATGCTCGGTAGTTCTCTTTGTAACTGGTGGTTAGTTTTTAACATGTAAAATGAGCGGGGTGTCAGTGTCAATTATTCAGAACATTACTAATGGTTGTTCGACAGGCCATTTGTTATCAAATAAAAAGCTAATTTTATGTTTCTGCCCAATGAGATTTTAGAGATAACACCTGAAGATGTCTAGTCATCTGACCGGCACATGGTTCATATAAAGTGTGTTATTACACTGCACCTTCTGGCGACTCTGACTATACCTGTAAGGAGGCAACAAATGAGTAGGCTTTCCATATCAGAATCGTTGATACATGCAGTAGTTAATACATGCAGACAACTTTTTCAGCTCCATGATGCTTTTGGTTTCATTTTTGCATTATGGAATATTCTTGCAAGTCATGCCCTTAATAAGCAACCTAAAAAATATACATACTAAAGGAAGAATAATGTGCCACTCCAAGATATAATATGTACACCTTCCTTTAACAGTAGTTAGAAGCTTATAAGGATCTGAAGTTGATGACATGTTGTTGAGAGCATTGGGTGTTGATTGTCGGTGGTAACAATATTGCAAGATATAATGCACAAATGTATTTTTGACACTTAAATTATAAACGTTTGCTACATACTGTATATGATTTCAAGACCTTTATATGGGACCTTTCAAAGCATATAACACTTTTTAGATGTAAAGTAATAAATGTAATAAAAGCAGAGGCAACAGTTAGTTGGTGCTGCGCTCTGCCTACCGATAGTCAGCCTGATGTTTCAGTGGCAAACTAACCAATCCACACTGTCACTTAACGGAGTGCTAATTAAGACAATAAACCCCATTAAAGATTTTCTCCAGACCTGATCGTCAGATGCAGTAACCTGAGCCAACAGGGCTGGTAAATGAGTATCCTCCCACTGAAAGACATCAGTAATCACATGGCTGCACGGGGACCAGCTAGCACCATTCCATCTGTGTCGTAAATGAGATCTAAATGAAATCTAATACTAGAGGCCGTATTCAGGAGGGAACCACTGTTGAGCTGCAGACACTGATTGAAAGGGGCAGCGACCAGGAAATAAACTGTGAGCAGTGAAGGGGAGAGAGCCTGCAACATTCAGCTTAGTTGAACATTTTCAGACACGGTAATCAGGCAGATTTGAACGGAGCAGTTTGCGCATTGCCTCGTGTTTGTGTGAACATTGAATACGAGTAATTAAAGCTATGATGTGATGAGTCTAATCGGCAGTCAGGAGGACGAGAGAGGGGAATAGGAAACTGCTCTGCTTCTTTGTTTTCAGTTAATTTCACAGCTCCCTGCTGGCTCCCTCACTTCCTCTTCAACCACTTGAGTTATCCTATTAATTTAATTGGGAACACAGAACACTACAGGTGAAAATGACCCACAGGAGCCGGGGTAATTTGTGCTCTGCTATTGTTTCAGTAGTTCACTTCATATTAGCAGTATTTTCATGTAGCTCACATTCTTTATTTGTTCAACTGTTCTTTTGTGGAAATAAAAAATGTTCTTTTCCGTTTACTCTTCTGTGTAACCTGTAATTTATTCGGCAATGTTTGATTTTCAGTTAAAGGTTATATGTATTCTGTTATTTGATACGTGCAGAGAATAAAGTCATGCGCACAATTGGCGTGGAAACGTGATGAGAAAGTATATGTAGAGACAAACACAATTATGGGTTACTTTACTTAGATCTGTGATAATGAAAGCTATTATTATATAGCTCACACCACTGTGACAACATTCGTGCATTTGATAACCCTAAGATTAATATCAAACTAAAATGTTAGAAGTGAGAAAAACTTAATTTCACACATCAAAAGATTAATAAACTTGGTTTTGGTGGCTTTCCCCTCCACTGCGTTTCTACTTGTGCGCTGGGAGGAAAAATGGAGGATGGGAATTAAAGAGCGGGAGGATGAGGAGGGCATGGACGAAGAAGATGGGGTGAGGGGAAAAAAACAAGATGAAAGAATGATGGAGGGAAGAAAAATAAGAGAGGTATCTCCACATACTCCAACAACATGCTGCCTTGGCCACAGTGATAAGTTTTCTTATGACAGTTATGAGAACACACTGATTTATTATGCACAGACACGCATGCGAGCGTGCACATTGACAGAACCATATTTTACAAGCTACCTTGGAGAGGTGTGTGAAAGCAGGACAGGATGATGATTGATCCCCACATGTCTGAATGCGTAACGGGTAGCCAGGCCAAGCTATCTGTGCATGTTGTTATTGTGCTGCTCATAACACTGAGCAGCAAGCACATGATCATCCCAAAGCCTGTCACTTATTGATTTACTGCTCTGCTTCCCCCTTAACTCACTGCCACATTTTATACAGTTCCAGTGCTAACAGATTTAGCATGATTGCCATGATTTCCCCATGGTTTCGTAACCCTGATCAGAGCAACACAAACAAACTAGGGGCACAAGATTGAAAAGTTACAGGAAATCTGATAAATATCTTCTTTTTTCTTTTTTGCAACTCACCATGAAACTCTGTGTTCTTTGCATATCCGGGTGAAAATGGCGAGTGTGAGATGAATATGCATGTAGTTGTTTAGCGGGATCAGCAGCCTGCCAAGCCAGCTGGTGCTGTGAAGTTAACTCTGCTGAAGCAGTCTTTTGAAAATGCCACATTTAACTTAAGCTCTTCATTTTGGACTTTTGATGCTGCATGGTGATTGAACTGGTCTCTCTGCCGTCAAATACGAACATTTAAAGTTTACAGCATGTTATTCTTTTGTTATTGTGAATAAATCCCATCAAATGACAAGTGTGTAATTTACATCAGGGTTGGGAAGGGAATATTTTTTCCATTTTCATATTTTTGTACACCCTATATTTAAATCTTCATCGTACGTTTGATTACTACAATCTGTCTGATAAGTGCCCTCTAATTTTCCAGCTACCATAATAGAAATGGGAGAAGCTTTGAATCACTAAACATTTTTGATTTGCTCATTTATTTCACCGGTATTATATGCTGCCCAGACTAACCTGACTTTGTTATTAGGGGATGTAGTCATGATTGAATGTAGCCTGACAGAAAGCGATGGGAAAGAAAAATAAGCTCTCATTTCTGCCCAAGGACACAATATCGTCTTTAAAAGATGCCTACATGCTTATTAATCAAATATAAGGCAGTAAAGAACAGATAAAGATGATATGTTACTGATTAAAATAATGATATTTGTTTAGAGATGCAAATGTAGATGTGACTTAACAAACTAAATATAATTTTTAGATGCTTTAATCGCTGAGCTTTAAAGAAGGATTAACTAATATGTGTGTGACCTCTTCAGAAAGTGCAACAGACACATTGACATACGTTAGTTTATGGGATTTGTTAAAAGTAAGAATAAAACATTAATAATCATTTAACGGCACCTTGAAAAGTGTGTATCATGTAATTGCCATGATTTGAGGCTGTTACGATCTGAATGACAAACACGAGTGTCTGTTTTTGTGAATCCAGACAGGCCGGATGTAAGTGCTCCACACTTACTCAACGACTACGTGTGTGCGTGACTCACCACTATCTTCCAGTTTTAGGCCTGGTCTAAGCGTGTAGTCTGGTTCTGTAGGCTCTGGCTCATCATCCACGTCAGAGGCTGAAAGAGAGACACAGAGGTCATTGAGTGAGGCGGCAAAAGAAGGAGGGAGAGGGTGGGACAGCATGGGTTAAACCACTGCTCCAAACCAAAAGATTTTAATTAGATTCACCCTGACATCTTCAGAGAAACATGTGAGAGAGCAGCAACGCAAAAGGTGCAGGGGTTAAAGAAAATACCCTGGAGCAGACAGACTGACAAGCCACAACATAACCAGCAGAACAAGAGAGAGAAAAGGAGGCTGAAAGATGGGAGGTGAAGGGAGGCAGATCAAACTGAAGCGAGGCAGTGTGTGAAAAGGGATGGCGAGCGATGGAGGGGGGTGAAAGGGAGGAGAGGTTAATACTACAGGGCTATGGAAGTTAAAAGGACCGGACAGGCCAGGGATCAAAGTCTGTGTGTGAGTGTGTGTGAGTGAGTGTGTGTGAATGAGTGTGTGTGAGAGAGAGGGTTGAGAGATTGAAGGAAGGCAGGAGAGCGAGATAGAAAGGTTAACACTACATATACACAGACACCCACTGACCGCACACAGCAATAAATGAATTCTGACAGGGGGCGAGGGGGGAGGGCTGAAAGAGGGAGGAATAGTGAGAGGAGGTGAGAAGGGGGGGAGGCGGGGGTGAGGGCCTTCAAAGCTGGAGCTGCTCCTCTCTGCTGCTGTGGATGGGGACTAGGGAGAGAGAGAACAGAGAGTCAGAAAAAGAGAGAGAGAAGCGGGAAAAAAAGAGGAGCAAGAGGGGTTCTGTGCCGCGAGTGAAAATGCTGCAGGGGAAACTCAGCAGGAGTATTAATAGCTCTGCCTGTTTTAGACTGTATTTAGATTATGTATGCATCTGTATGCAGTCAGCGTGCATGTGTGTGTGTGTGTGTGTGTGTGTGTGTGTGTGTGTGTGTGTGTGTGTGTGTGTGTGTGTAGGGGGGTTTGTGGGGAGCCCGTAGCCTGCCAGATGGGTAAAGTGGCCAGATGGAAGCAGGTACTGTCTGCAAACACGTCCTAGCATTGCATTATAGGTCAAACACTAATGCTCGCACACACACACATACAATACATACACACACACACACACACACACTCACATACACTTACCCGTGGAGCAGCAGACGTACACTCGTAGTCTCAGACAGCTGCGGCCGTGATGGTGGGTGGGCGTGGCTGTAAAAACACAGAATGCACAAAGATGTGTGTTCATATGCGTGTAATGCTTTCAGCTATGTGGTCTGCTTTAAAAAAACTGACAAAAGTTGGGCTTTGCTGCTTCACATGTAAACGAGATATCAGAAGTAAAACACCCATCCAAACTGGATCAGTATCGGCGCTGATGCTGACCTCATGAAACATCTATCAGCCAGACGGGACTGTTCCAAAATAAACACAGTTAACATACAATTTTATCCATAACATCAAACGTTCTCTACATCGCTGCGCTTGGGTTATTTTTACTATTGCAGGAAGCACTGGAGCACACAAGCTACAATTATACAGCAACTGTTTGTGATTTACAACTGCCTTTCCTAAAAATAGGCCTGCATTTATTGTACACATTACTGCAGAGTGAAATGAGCACTCTGTGTATGACAGGAAAGAAGCATTCAGTTCTAGTTTCTCCAACCGAAAACAGCAACTGTGGTAAGTTCACAAGTTGTTCTTATTGGAGGTTACTAAATGCAGCAGAGAGTAATGGCACGGAAATTCGAAATGGCAGCTTTGAGACAACTTTTGTGTTTTGAACACAGCACATTTCAGCAAAAATAAATCATCAAATTTGATAGTTTGAGCGACTTCTGATATATTATAGAAAATATTGTATTCTATAATATATCATAATTAAAACTATTTATTATAAAGATAACATGTTTCTCTACAGAGAGGACAGGAAAAGCCTCATTGCTGGTATTGTGCATTCTGTCTTACTGTCAAAAAAGTGAAATTGTCTTTAATACAAACCTATATAACCAACCAAATGTCCCATTATGACTGAACATTAGAATTTGAATATATTACATGATAATTGAAAAAATAAAGGCATTTTTAGGTTTTTCAAAAACAAGCCTGCATAAAACCAAACAAACATGAGTTGTGTCTCGATCAGCTTTCTTATTACCGAATTGCAGAAACTAAAGGTTTTTAGAAACGTCTCCTTCAAGTAATGTAGGTTAAGAGTGCAGCACTCTATCTTAAACATTACTTCTTATAATGCATTCTTCTAAACGCTAAAAAATTTTTTTTTACTTTGACATATTGCCACGAAGTGTTGTAAGTTATTTTGATTAACAATCAACAGAATGTACGAGCCTGGGTTTACTGCAGGGTGATTTGATTAGATGAGAAACAACAATTTGTTACTCTGAAATTACCTAAGGAGGGTCTTAACTGAGTTAATCGTTAAATCCACTCAAAATCCCCAAAATAATTACAGTGCGTGTTTGTCACATTACGGCTCTAGTCTCACAAGCTTTTACTGCAATTAATATATTTTGGTTTCCACTTCAAGACAGCTTCATATTGATACGTTTCATCATGATATTGGTTCCACTCACAGATGTAGTAGTACTCCTGTCCAACGTGGAACTCGTATCCCAGCGAGAAGGCACTGTAGCGCTGGAACTTCTCGGAGAACTTGATGGGTGCGTGGGGGGCGTGGGGCCGGTTGCACTCCCACCTCTTGAAGCCCAGCTGGGGGTCGCAGTTCCTGTAACCGCGGTAACTGACCATGTAGAGGATGTACTGCTCGCCGGTGCCCACCATGCGCTGGCTGTCGTTGTAATGAGGGCAGTAGATGTCCAGGTAGTCGTTGACGTTCACCTGCATCGTGTAGCCCTCCCTACGCAGACTGGACACACAGAGAGAGGGCAAACAGTCAGAATTCATATAAACAAAATTTTTAACAGGCAATTTTGAATTAACTAGAGTCGACAGATCATAATTGGACATGTTCTTGATTTTTTCCCCCCTCGGATAATCGTTAAATGTTTGTGCAATTTGAGAGGAAATAACAGCCAGGCAGATTTTAAGTATTATGTCCAAACTGCCCCTGGATACTAATAATATGTATCAGCCTTAGTGAATAACAATAATTATAATTTATATTGCCAAAACATACATTGAATGCAGCTCATAGTTCTTAGCACACAGAGCAATTAAAGTAATTAAGATGTACAACACGCAGTATAAATTAGAATTTTTGTATGTGCAAAACATGGTTATGTTTTTTCATAGTATGGGGTTTCTACAATGAACAATATAATAAAAAATGTGTCACTACTACACACATAACACACAATATTTTCAGTAAATAATGGAACAACGAGTAGTGCAATCTAATTGTAGCTGCACTTTTTGTTTTATTGTATAGCAGTTAGCATTTAACATGAATGCTTATTGTCACCTATTTCCAAATGATGTGTGGAATATTTAATATTTGTACATACACAGATTTCTTTAGCCTTAACCAAACACTCACATAAGTCACTGCAGAGACATCATAACATGTCAGCGTAAGGCATACTGCGTTTCGGATGCATGCGTTTTAGCTTGAATGTTCACCCAGGGTCAAATAAATCTTTACTTGAGAGTTATTGAGTTATTAATAACACAAAGAAAGCAGGTGTGTGTGAAAGAGTGTGTGTATTTGTGGCTGCAGGGCTGCTGCATGCGGAGAATGCGGAGCTGGCTCTTCAGTACGGGCCAAGGGCCCCAGGGCCGCCGCTCCTACCTCTGGTGTCAGCGCAGTGCTGTCCCCTAACCCCAGCGCTCGTACATCAACCTGAGCACAACATTGCGCTCACGTCAGACGTCAACGTCCTCACCGCGTTCGCCCCCCCCCAAAGCTCATAAATCAACGTCAGCCCCAAAAAAAATCTCGTCTTGACAGGAAGATAAGGTCTGAACCTGTCTCTGCGAGTGTATGAGTGTGTGTAGTGTAGTGTGTATGACAAAGTGAAATAGATTTAGATTTTTTTCTGACAGCCCAAAGACCTTTTTTTCCTCCCCATCACAGACACAGGCCTATATCTGTGTGACAGAGACAGGTTGCAGTTGTAAATCATACACACGCTGATGAGCATGTGAGCACACACACACGCTCATATGTTAAAGTGGTGACATCATAAAATCACAAGGGGGCAGCAGTGTGTCATCCTCACTCTGATGCTGCCTCTCTTCCTCTCTCCCAGTTCTAGGTCATGTCTCAAGGGGGATTATTATTCAATTATTAAATGAAGATCGAAACACTGTTTCCAATGTGTCCCTCTCTCCATCACTCCTTAACGCTCTCTTCAAATCCTGCCTGAATTTGTCTTTCTCCCCCTCCTCTGCATTTCTCTCATCCCTATCGCTCAGACTAACATGAAGGGAAGATTAATTGTTCAACATTCATCCTTTGCTCTCTTTCTCCTCTCCTCTCTGCTCTTCACTTTCTCTCATTACATCATTTAACTAGCCTACAGAGGGTATTAGTGGTAGAAAAAAAGGGGGAAATGCTTCAAGGGAACTATATTTATAGTGAATGCAAAAAAAAGAGAGAGAAAGAACACGAGTGAGGGATGAGTTTAGTTCCACCAGGGAGGCGTGAATGCAAATTGAGTAAAAAAGAGAGAGCCAGAATGGAGAAGACAGAAAGGCGGTGGGAGAGTTGTACGCTACCAAAGAAAAGCAAGTTCTCTGAGATGAAGGGATAATGGTGGAAAAAAAGAGAGAAAAATGAGGGGGAGGGCAACTCCGAGCATCTTGATTAATCTGAAAGTAAATAATTTCTCTAAGATAAAAGCTGGCGTTAGGATTCCCACTGTGCATGTGTGTGTATTTGTGCGCCTGCTTTGGTTTGTTTATGCATCTCTGCGTGAGATATCAAAGCATCTCATCTGCCGACATTTCATATTAGAGGTGGTGACATCTATAGGTGTGACCTACAGAACACACGTAGAACACTAAAGAGGGAGGTCATTTAGAACAAGTGTGTCTTAACAGTGAGTCTGTATCATCTAAAAGGAGCGGTGGGAATCCTTGGACTTTAAAACAATCTGAAGGAATTTAAAAGCACGATTTAAATCATACATTTACATGAACACAATAAATGTGCCTTGGGGAATAATCCTGTAGGTCGTAATGCAATACTTGACTTTGTGCACACTTGTGACAAACTGGGTTTTAGTAGCAAGTGGCATATTAATGTTTCCAATAATCTTTGTTCAGTGGTGTAGTGAATAACGTTTTTCTACGTGGATTGTTGCACTTATACTACTTGAACAGGGACATCATTAATGGTATTAGAAACACCTATGATTTTTTTTTAATGCTATGACAAGTCTATAGTAAATGTATGTTGGTGAAAAAGCTGGTTAAAAAAAAATACTGTATATTTAAAATGTAATAAAACCAACCAATTGCACTAAATCCACACACTTTGTACTGAAATATATCCAGTTGGTGGGATATTTAAGACGTTTTTAAGGTTTTGCAAAATCTTCTGCTTCCAGAAGACCAAAACAACAGGAGGTGTCTCTTGGGAGTGAATCACTGATTATGGATTTGAAGAACAAAAAAAAGTTCCTAGAAATGCCTCGGATCAAGAAATGTGGGTTAAATGAGTGCTGCAAACGTTAAAAAGCTATTTAATTTCATGAGACATTCATCCTTAGCCTGAAATATTTGTTTTTTAAATTGTTTCAAGACAACTACATTTTCATTATTTTTACTGTGTCATGTTAGTGCAAGGTGTTAATTTAATCAGCAACCAACAAAATGGATGATATGATTAGAAGTGAAACAGCAATTTGTCACCCTGAAATTGCCTGAGGATTGATTGGTTTAATTGAAAGTAAAGCATTATATGTTATGAGAAAAACAAAAAAAAAGACATTGTATTGACTTGTATTTCATTATATATGATTTTTACTGGTCAGACAGTGTCAACATTATTTTCTATCAACCACTTTGCTACATGTGCTGATGTGTACAAGTTGATTTAAATAATGTACTGAATTGTTCCATACAACCAATTCAAAAATCCATAAACTGTCTTCGCTGTGACTCACACTTAAGTGAAGCAGTCGGCTATAAACTGTGTGTTGGGAATGTGCCCTCTCCTTTGTGCAAAGTTGGTGTGACAGCCCTACACCAGTCACGATCATATTCTTCCTGCTTTAAGACGTAAGAGAATACAATAAATATTTACATTTTAAAAACAGCTTTACATAAAAGTGTACTTGAAAATCCACTCCGACTGAAGATAAGAGTTGCCTCCCTTTCATTTTGTGTCGTGTCCCTCGATCGCGACACCTGGTTAGCTGAAGCTGATAGCGAGAGCTGAGAGACGGAGCGGGGCGCTTCATCGACAATAACAAATCTGACGAGCACAAAGAACACTTATATCTACAGACCCGCCAGGGGACGGAGCGATGGAAAGAAAGATGGGAGGGTTTATAAGTTGAGACGAGGGGTAGTCGGGGTTAAAAGCTGCAGAGTCTGGCCACCAGGGAGCGGAGGGTGATAGCGCGGGGGAGCAACAGCTAAGAGCAAGATCAAAGTGGGCCTGGATCAATGTCACTATTGTAAAATCACATCAGAGAGTGTGTGAGAGGGAGTATGTTGGCTATAAATCAGTCATGGGCAACATAATGCCACAGCGTTAACCCCTGCCTGCCTGCTATCTGGCTGGCCTGTTGGAGAACTGTACATCGATAAAACACTTTGACAGTAAGAGCAACCATTCCTTTTTGTAACCAGAGCTTAGAGTACCAACTAACTCTGCTGTGGGTAAGATGGCAGACTTTGAAGAGAAAGGAGAGGCTGGAGGATTATAGCATGGAGTTACGCTGAAAACACACAATGTTTCTGCAACAAAGGGAAATTGGCCAAATATACCACATGGAGTTGTGAATGCTGGCTCACTGCCTAACGAACACAGACACTTGAATAAAACACAGGCACCATTAATGTTGTCAGTGACTTCTGTAGTGACTTAATACTAAGACGAGTTAAGAAGAAAAAGATCCTTTACTTAATTTTTCATAATAAAGACCATCAAGCATATGTTGAAAGAAAGTAGTTCAAGCTAAATGACCTTCATCAGGTAGCAAGCCTCACAACAGTTTCACATATAAATGCTAGGTGACGAGTGGGCTTTTATTTGCCTTTTTTGTAACAGTAGGAATCCGATTTATGATTAATTTTGGCAATTTTCAAGATACATCCTTTCATTTATTAACTAATTAATATCTTTCCGACGTCGTTGGCTGGAAATGTGGGTTTTCTCAGTTTTCTTTTACAGAACTGTGATCGTATAATATCACCTGACCTTACATAACCTTTTAAGTCTTAGATACAAAATCATTAAGACTTAAAGAGAAACGAAAAAATACCAAAACACAAACTTTCTTCAAAGATTCTTGAGCTTCCTAATTACTTCATCATGTAAAAACATGCTAATATGTGAATGCTAACATGTGAGAAAGGAGCATCTGAGGACTTGACCTAGAGGGCTCACATGGACATCTGTTTAGTATTCTTTCAAACGACTAAGGGCTCAACGATCACAAAGTAGAACACCACAGGTGGCTGATTGGATTGCGTGGTTGTCAGTGTGTGTAACTGCCAAAAAAGCATGCATGCCTCAGTAAATCAAGGTCAAATAAATCAAAGGAGTCACTGCTGATAGGTACAAGTTTGGGGCTGGATTAAAACTTGTCCAGCAGTGTGACAAATGATTGCCAATCAGAACTTAAAAGACAGTCGTCCCCATGAGGCCGGAATACTTAATCCCATCTCAGTTTGGTACAGATGTGCTAACATTGTTGCGGGAGGACTCGGAGCGGTAGGTATAATTGAATGGCTCCCCCCGCTGAATGGAGACTCCCAGAGATCTGTAGCATCGATGAGGCCCTCATCAAACACAGGCAGGAGTCTTCCTCCTCCGTCCTCTTCCCACTCCCTCTGCCTCGCTCGGTTGTCTCCTTGCCTACATTTGTTCTCACTTCCTCTGTTACTTTCTAAGTTTGGCTTTTGTCTGAGAGGAAGCAGACCAGAGTATTTAAACAAATGTGTGTATACATGCTCTTTAGTGATGCCAGCTGATTCAATATTGTTTGACATTGAAGATATTGACATGTGACTGCTGCCAAAAAAGAGCCATCCTTCCCTATACTATCTTCTGCCTTGTTTCAGTCTTCTCCTCTCCATCCCTCAATCATTTCGTCCTGAACCACTGGAGGGACATGCCTGGGTAGGTGGGTTCGGGAGAGTGTGTGTAAGGGGGTGTCTGAGGGTGTGTGTCCAGATATGGTGTAGTGCAGGTTCTAAATTCTCCTCATTGAAATCAATACCTGTCGAGAGTGTGTCCAACAGACTGGAATAAGCTGCCTTCTCTCAAGGCCGCTGCACGCGCGCACACACACACACACACACACACACACACACACACACACACACACACACACACACACACACACACACACACACACACACACACACACACACACACACACACACTCTTCTGCCCTCGGAGCGATGGCTCGTCATTGGTAATTGATCAAAGTATTACAGCTAACAGTGTTTCTTGCCAAGCGGCCTCACACGCAGCACGGACATGATCCCATAACACGAGCAGCATTCTCCGAATCGCTCTCTCTCTCTTTCCACACTTTTCTTCTACCTCGTTTGCTCAATGTTCTGCTCTTGTCTTACTTCTCTGGAGCTCTTAAGCACTCTTTCTCTTTTCCCTCCTTCCTCCTGATCCTCATCCATCATCCTCTCCCTCTCTCTGCCTGTAGATATTGACTGTGTGGTGTGAGAGAGAGTGCTCCGGCAGCACGAAACCTAATGGCAGGCGTTATTAGCCCTCTGCACTGAGCTGTCTTCTCTTTCACACAGGTTCAAACCCATTATGTGTACGACGAGCATGTCCTCCTGCACATGCATGTTTGCAATCAATCATTCATGCTTTTATTTGTGGGGTTTGTCCGAACACGCGTGACACAGATGGATGAAATCAAAATGAAAAACTGCAAGAAACAACAGATGGTGGAACACGTGCTGGATACGAAGACAAAAGCTGGAGGAAGAGGAGATCAGAGACGTGGGAGGATAAAAGGATGAACGGCAACAACTGAAAGGAGAAGGGACAGTGCACTTTGATCAAGAAAAATGTTGTTTAACCTGTGAATGAGCCCGAGAGTAGTGGTCTTTACCTTAATTTGCGTGTTTATCGATTTAGTTTTCAACTTTAATTTATCGTCCATTTCACAAGCGTCCTACTCAGCCTATTTTACGCTCCAAAGGGTTTCTCCACTTCAAGGCTTCCTCTACCTCTCGAGTGTCATTCACCAAGAATCTGCCAATACCAACCAATCTCTCCCTCTTATTCTATCACTTTGCTCACATCAATCCTTCCTGGGCCCGCTCTATCTCTCGGTTTCCCTACATCTCCCGCTGTCTCTGTTCCCAAAGCCCTTACATGAGCAATAGTGATCCCATCAGACACTGGGCCACAGAGGAGAAGAGACACACAGAGAAGAGAAAGGCAGTGTATGTTCCCTAAGCTCGCCCATGATTGATAGTGATCCTGTCTGATGGCTGTGTATAGACTCAGCACTCAGTGAGACATTACCCTCTGACCCAGCTATTGATTCTCTGCCCCAAACACACAACACTAGTCATGACCCTGCCCGTGCAAAAACCACACACACACACACACACACACACACACACACACACACACACACACACACACACACACACACACACACACACACACACACACTAACTCACTCCTCTGTGAGTACAGTTCCTACAGATTGATAGTATCGCGGTGTCCTGTGAAACTTGATCAATCTGCTGCATTACAATCATTCTCCCTGCCCACTTCCTGCCCGAGTCACATGGCACCCGTGTCCCGCTGACTGATGTGTTTGGGTCAGGGTCTGGAGGCTTGAATATCAGGGCTGCAGGGAAAAGAGCTCCGGAGCTGGGATCAACCATTCTCAACAACAACAACATTACTCAGATCCCTCTCTTGAGCCACATTAAACAGAGACCATGGGCGAGAAACAATGCTTTCAGGACCAAAGTGCAATGTGGAAAGAGAAGTAGGGCCATCTATCACGCAGACGTGGGTCAGATGTACTTTTCGCTAATAATTCTCCATCTGCTTGCACTCGTTTTAACCGACTTGACCCGCGCTGTAGGTGGGAGCGACTATATAAGCTACTAAAGGAACTTATTTAAAACTCACTTTCCTTTTTGTTTGCACTGCCAACTGGCTAAGAGAACTGGGAAAAAATCATCTATCGAGTACTTCAAACAGGGTAAAACAAAAGCTTTGAATGATTTGCAACCGTTATTTGACCCATGTCCGATATCAAGAGACAAGTTAAACACGGAGAGGATATTTTGGCCATTGTGAGTCCAAGGAGGCGAAGCCAGAAAGAAAAGCGAGACAGAGAGGAGTGCCAACTGAGCTCCAGCCTAATGGGCTTCCAAGACAAAACCACAGCTGGCTTTCAACATTAGTCTCCATGACGACAGAAGAAGCCCTAGCTATGCGGCTATTGTAACAAAAAAAAGGGGGCTACAGGGGTTCATTGCTTTGTGCAAAAACCCATCTATCCCCTTTATCCACCATCTCCCCTCTGTCTCTCTAATGGCTAATTAAGTACCACTTATTACCATTACACATGATCACAAATCATCAGCTATTACTGTGGCAAATTCAGTGTCACAGCGTTTTCAGGAGTAGATGTCTGTCTCAGCGCGGCTGCAAAGGAACAAAGATTAAGGCTAAAAGCAGACAGGGACGCAGGGGTGTGTTACTAACGGCTACAGGCAAAATGTGGATAGGTCATTTAATGTACTACCAGCAACACTTCATGTGGATACTATGGGGGACAGCCAAAGGTGAAATTAGGAACGGTTATTTTTGTCTTAAATGTACTCTGTTTCAGTGCAAAATAAAAAGAAGCATTATTCTGATATTATGTTAAGTTGTACTTTAAATTCATCCCTCAGACTTTTTCATTTGCTTAGAAAGTGTTGAAAACCCACTACTACACGAAGGGCAGAAACAGAGCACTTGGGTTTTCAGGGCAAATAGAAGAGCTGTTAGTCTCAGGGCACGGCAGAAGGATAACCACACACACTCAAATGCACACACACAAAAAGAGCAGCGAGATGTATAGCAGACTTGGTAGGAACAAGCAGACATCAGCATGAAGTCTTTAAGTGTTTAAATGCGTCTGGGTATTCTTGTCAGACTGAAGATGACATTGAGCTCGAACACTTCGAGCATTATGGATGTTCTATTAATGCACTGTGACGTGGAGAATTAAATAAATGTATTCGCATATACCCGGTCACGAAGGCCTGAAATTAAAGCATGCAGATTGAGACACAATGCTAATCTAAGCGATAAGTGCTCAATTACCCATTTAGGAAAATAATTCTGCTGCGTGGAATCAATGGAGTAAAACAATGAGGATAAAAAAAAAAGGCCTGCACTCAAAAAGAAACCCAACGATGTTCAGCCTCACTTCATCTGGAGAGTTTTCTATTTTTATTCTTTATCAAAGCAGAACATAAAAGAAAATCACAGCACAGATGTTTCAGTGCAAAGACCTTCCACAGCGTGCAGGCCAGAGTGATAACAGAAACAAAAAGATTTTGTTTTGAGATGAATGAGCTAAAAATCTATCGATGCCAGATTTTAACACAATAGGCTTACAAACGACTTATGGTGATGCGCTCGGATTGGAAACTACAACTTTGGGATGTGCAGTGTTTCGCTAAAAAGATGTGTGTGTTTGCGGGGGGCTTCTACAGATGCAACCGTATGAAGCTTTGCCTCGATATCCTCCATTACGCCTCCTAACCGGGCCAGAGAAATGTTACCAGAGCCAGCCAACACAGGGCACTGACTCGGCCCCGGTGCATGATATCCCCCTCGCAGCGTAAATTACCAGTCAGAAACTTAAACTCTGCAAAGCCTGTGAAAGTCGATACAAACAATAATGAAAACGCAGCAGGACAATGATGGAAAGAGAAGCAACAGAACGTAGTTAGCTTGAAGCCAGATGACAACAGGACACCTGCTGGATCCCTGCATGGCAATTAAAATGTTAGTAAATAAAGTGTAGTTTGAGGAAACCTGCGAGTGTACGATTACACACATTAAGCTTTAAATCCTGTTGATTCTACAAGCTTGTGGATCCGTGTTTGTGTTTGTGGGTGTCAGTATTTCATGATGTGGCCGACTCTCTCCACTGAACATAAGCAGACTGTCAGTCTATCAGTGGAACATCCCTCTCCCATTTCCCTCCCCTCTGTCTCTGTCTCCCCCACTATCACTCCCTCTGCCCTACTCTCCTCCTCTGTCTCTCCATCCTTATCAGTGTCCTTCCATCCGTCTCGCGTTCAATTTTTCATTTCAGGTTCAATCTTTTTGACGTCCTCACACACCTCGCCCTCCCTTTCTGTCTTCCTCTACTGGCCTGTCAATCTGTCGTCCCCGCCCTCTCTCCCTCTCTCCCTCTCTCTCACATGAAGCCAATATGCCTATATGTGGCTGCGACCTGTCAATCATCATAAGGCAGTCAGCAAAATGTGCATTCATGTGGACCTGGTGGATGTGAGCTTGTGTTTAGGGAAGAGAAAGGAAATGTTCCCGCAACCAGAATTCTCAGGTGTTTGAAACAAAGTCCCTTTTTACAAGTTACTTACACTCACAATGCAAGAACTTTGCCTCCACATCCCAAGCAGTTCTTTGAATTTGTCCAAATGAAATAAATCAGTGGAGGGTGACAAACCACCTCTTACAAAGTGTATCATGACTCAAACAAAGCAATTCCACTATTCCAAAAAAAAATGTTTCCACCCATCTGTGTGGGTGTTCAGCTCAGTGCGCTGTTGCAGCTTCACCGTGACTTACTGCTTTAATTTAAGAGGTATTCCACATAGACCTTCTTTATTTTTTATTATTCCAGCAAAGACTACAGTAGTTAATTTTGCCCTGTACCTCCCACCCACCAACCAATAAAATAAAGTTAACAATTTCCTAAGCAAAATATAAAACGCTGTGATGTCTTTCCGTCTGCACTTTCTTTTGATGAGGTTTGACTTCCTGTAGGTTTTTTATTTCATCCCAACTATTGAACTCCTCATCTGTTTATTTCAAAACAAGCTTCTGCTGCTACTCGGAGCGTAAAAGACACTTTATGTGTGCCTAGGGGTATCGCTCAAGAAAGAACAGGAAATTAAAAAGGTATCAGCTGAATCACTTTTGTGTTTTTATGAAAGCAAAATGGAGAGTAGCAAAGTAAGCATTAATTCATTTATTTATAGAAACTGCAGTTTATTACTTTAAACAACTCTCTCACAGTGAGTGACATGCATCAGCGGAACATAAAGCCGACGGCCTCGCGGGTCCATTTAAGATCTGACATTCTATGCGCGACATTAGGGATTATGGATTTGTAGGTATCTTTTCGGCGAATGTTATGAAAAGTGTTGTATTTATTTGTACTTGGGCGTTTATTCAAAGGGAACAAAGCAGTGGGATGTGTATATGAGCTCTCATAAAGTCAGCCCACGTCCCAGTGCAACATCTCGGCCATATAAGCAATGCCTGCTCTGCTTTGCTGCTGGAATATGAAATATGCATGGACCATAAAGAGCATATGGACCATCCATCTCAATATCCGCTACACCAGACCATCAAAAAAGATCATTAAACCTAACACACACAGGCTGACTCGCACACACACGTACACACAAAATGGCACATAAACATGCACTCCCACGTCGTGCATAATGGTTTATCAGTTTCAGTGCCAACTTTCTGCTGACAGAGCACACCTAGTTACAGGCAAAGGCATGCACACACTTAAAGTGACACACACGCAAACACACATTAAGGAAAGAGAAGGGATCCAGCCGTTGTGTAGAATTGTCACATTTCTAGTCTTAATCTAAATACATTACAATCAGCTGTCGAATAATAACAGTAGACAGAGAAACATTAACACATGTCTTTGTTCCGCTCTTTATCTAACACACACGCGCGCAAACACATGTGCCACCCCTCTAAGCTGTCACTCTATATTTTCTTTACCATGGCCCCCGTCAGGCTCTGTCACTATCAGGCGCTCCGGCCCTCCACTGCCGGGAATAAAGATTTAATATGGAACTCACAAGGAGAGTGAAGAGAGAGAGAGAGAGACTCAAAGTCACAGTGACAGTAAATCTGAAAAAGGCCAACTCATGGCTAACAAATGCACAGATTCAGAGCGAAGTCAGGGAACCTGTTAACAGAGAACAAAGCAGGGAGGGATGATGGGATGGACAACACGTGAAGGTGAGGGAGGAAGAAGAAAAACAGAAGGACTCAGGAAGAGAGTCAATTCTCATTCACTCACATTGTACAAAAGTGACAACTTATAACACAGACTTCAGCTGGGTGAGGCATCTGTCCTTCTTCATCTCTTCCCTCCATTCCTCACCCTTTCCCTCCTCTCACATCTCTCTAATCTCTTTCTAACTACACCATGTGTCAGCGAGGAGTCTGACACTAAGTCAGCGTCATATTCTATCATCCATGCAGACGGAGACAGGAGCAAACAGGACAGCTACAAGACGGGCTTCTTCTTTATCTGATCTCCTTACTCCTTCAGCCCTTCTTTCTTCATCCCGCCATCCCATTTCCCCCGAAAAACGTTGTCAGCCCAGGTGCAGCAAACATCAATCTGCTAATGGGCGCTGCTCTCTTATTAGTTCTCACTGTGGCCTGAAAAGCCCATTCAGGTTGGTGAAAAGCTCTCATATTTTTGCAACAATGAGGATAGAATGAGAGTTGGAGCAAATGTGCAGCATGTGTGTACTTTCCAAGATGTTATAACTGCCACCTTGTTTTCACCTTCACAGCAGAGGGCGGAAGTTGGAGGAATCCAATTTTGGTTGCCACCTTCTGTACTTGCAGGTGTTATAATTTACGTATTTCTGTTATGTGTCTCCACAGACATTTTCCATTTCCGATACACAGGCTGCCTGTATAATTTGACAACTGTAAACGTTTATGTTTATTTTTTCCATCAATTTGCCATGGTTTTTATTACTCCGGTATCCATGAGCCCCGACTGCTGTTGCTATGGAGAAAAAGCCAGTTGGAGGCATGTTCTGTAAATGATTGATTGTTGCAAAAAAGACTGCAGCACAGTAGACATTATCTAAAGTAGAGTGTTGACTGCATGGAGGTGTGTTTAGACAGAGAGCAGAGTACATTTTTGCCTCGTGTAATTCCTGTGTAATTAACTTTTGGATTGTTGGGGTTATTTACCCAAAACAGCATTAAAACCAACTGTAAAATATGCATTGCATTTCTGTCTGAACTCGCATTGATCATGAGCTTTCTCATTAGAAAAAATCGCACAACTTGATTTTACACCAAAATATTGGATTTTGAAAGTAGTAACTCATTTTCTCGCTTTTATGAATAACTATGTTTTTACCAAGCAGCAACCTTCATTTCTCAAACCAAGATATTGATGATGATTCACAAACGAACGGTAGACGTCACTGTGACTATATCCAATTCATATAGACTATAGTTTGACTAGATATGTTCATACTTTGTAGCTCATCTTTTAAACTGATGATTTAACCACAATAGTTTCAAGCCCACCCAAGCTGCTAGTCACCAAACATTTCCTATGCTCAAAATGAACAGGACTTTTACCTCTGGAAACCTGGATGCTTAAAATATCTCCTCCTTCTACTCCATTTCTCATTCAACCACCTTCTTCCTGTGGGATACTACACCCTCCAGTATTCTCCATTCTAGCTGCCATGTGCTGGATACGGCTCAACATTTGAAAGCTCAGGGAGTGTCATTGGTATATGGCTGCTTCCTGGTTTGAGATTTAAAAATATCTCTTTTGAACCCAGATGTGCCACCTGCTCACCTCAGCTGCTGTGGAGCTCCTTTGACAGGCTGACTCCCTGCCTTGTTAACGGCACTTTCATTCAGCCAATTTCAGGAATTTGAAAAGATGCTGTCATGTCTTGGGAGGCATTTGTTATGCCTTTATGAATGGTGGCAGTGTGTATGTGCAGCTGGCTAAGGATTGATGCTGTATAAGTTGATGAGTTAAGTCATTTTACACCTCAAAAGATGTGTGTAAAAAAAACACAAACAGGCTCTGCTGACATTACAAACAACACACCAGACCGATTAATCAACAGTGTTTGTGTGTTTTTTGTCCCCTCTGGCAAGGACTTTCTCTCACTCACTGTCATTACTCACCTTCAAACACTTTTGAGTGTTTTCTGACTCTGTTCGACATCCCCTGTTCCTCTTAGCTCCCTCTCTCTCTGCCAGTCTCTCCACTGTGGTGTAAAGTCATAATCCTTTCCTTTCTCTCCTGTCGTTTACTTCCCTCTCTATCTTAGTAATTATCTCTCCGCCCTGTCCCCTCGTCGCACCCCCTGTCATCCATCTATCTGCCTCTATGTAAAATATCTCCATCTGCTTTCACTTTAATACTTTTCCATTCCCTGCCTTCCCTTATCTCACTGGACTGACCCGTTCATCTCTCCCCTCTTTCCCTCCATCCTTCTATCTCATCCTCCTCCCGCCTGCCTGCCTCCATCTTTCCATCCCTCCTCCCGGTCACGAGCTGATTGAAATTCAAACCCGAGCTTTATTGTCGGTCCGTGCGGTCGGCGATTTGCTTAGCACACGTTCCTGTGCGAGGCCGTGGAGGTTGTGAGCAATCTGGTTTTGGGTGTTCAGTGAGAAGATAAAGCAACATCAGAGGCAGCAGCCTCCGACTCCACCATCCATTACTTTGCTGTAATGTTTATCATTGCCACTGAGCTAGAAGCAGCAGCAGCAGCTCGGAACTTAGTTTTTCTCTCAGTTAACTCGCTCTAAATGGTCCAACACACCTGCATTTAGCTCTTCTAATCGTGCAATCAGTATTCCTTCCTCTTTCCCTCTGCGACCTCTATTTATTCTCCTCTATTTGTCCCATCTATCCGGTCTTTCTCACACATCCTGCTCCGACGTGTCCAGGCCATCATTTCCTCTATTTTCCTAGTCAGAGCCACAGCAGAGTGAATCAGACAAAGTGAGGAGAGAATATGATGCTCAACATTTGGATGGAAAGGTGTACATTGATGTAACATCAATATTGGTATATACAATTCAATATTGTCTGCAATATGGTTGTCATCAAGACTTTCCTGGTTATAAGGGCTGCATTACAGTATAGGAACTGAGGTTGTATGAATATATATAGATGGATTCTCAATTGAATTTCCAGAAAACATAATATACTTTGACTAGCAGTGCTATTCTGATATAGATTTGCATATCCCATTATTATACCGTGGGCTGCAATGATTGCCTGTCCATCAATAAGTCCACCAGAAAAAATCAGTCTGCACCAACTATATTCATATTTCAAGCAATGTGTATATTGAATATTTGAGGGTTTAATGACTGACAAAGGGACAAAACAAGACATCTGATTGTAGCTTTGATCACACTGTAATATTGAAGCAAATGAAAATACAGCAAAATGACCTGCTAACAAATAAATGATAGGCAGATGGTGTGTATGAGTGTGTATAAGTGTGTGGGTGTTGGGCAGGTAATAGAAAGGGATGTTTGTTTGCCAATACGTGTGAGCAGCAGACAGGTTACATACATATTTGCAGGTGTCACATCTGCTCCTGCAGGCGGATTTCTCCTCATGTGATTGCTTAAAAGTCTGTGTGTGTGTGTGTGTGTGTGTGTGTGTGTGTGTGTGTGTGTGTGTGTGTGTGTGTGTGTGTGTGTGTGTGTGTGTGTGTGTGTGTGTGTGTGTGTGTGTGTGTGTGTGTGTGTGTGTGTGTGTGTGTCAGTTAATGTTTCTACATGGATGTGTCTGGCGCGTGTGTGTGTGTTATCTGTGTGTGCATGGGACAGCAGTTTCAAAGATGGCAGCGTGAGCTTTTGTTCTGTCTCTTCAATCAAAGTGCTTCCCTACAGCTCGGCCTGGCAGACAAAACCAAAGTCAGCCAACACCGGCTCTGAGCTCGGATCAGCCGGAGAGAGAGAAAGAGAGAGAGACAGAGAGAGAGAGGGCGAGGTGAGAGAGGGAGAGAAAGACAGAGAGTGAGACCTATGGGTGAGAGGCCATGAGGTCTGTTTCTGTCTCTGGTGCAATGTGATGAAACCGGCAGGCAGCCAATCAAACATGACGATGAGCCAAACAGGGAATAACCTGCAGGTCAGCTAACACACACTCTCACAAACGCACACACACACACTCAATCATGCGCATGTGCTTGTTAGAATGGCAGCATTGTTCACCGAGGTCTAAGAACACTTTTTCTTGATATCAAGTGTTGCATGTAGAATGTAATTGGATGAGATGTAATTGGTTGTGGTCGCCTGATTTGAATAGCAAATGCTGGCTTTGCATAAACACACAAATTAAATCCTTGTTTATGTTGTGTGTCTGCATGTGCCCATGCCACTGCGCGCTGTTGTTGTAACTGTTGGTGTGCTGATTGCAAAAACAAACCCTCAGCTAAGAAAGGCTGCTGGTGAAATTGGAAATTATAAAAAAAAGGAGGAAGAATGAGTGACGTGTGAGCGAGACAAGGAGGGAGGAAGTGAGGGTGGTCAGGGATGGAGAAAGAGACAGAGTGAGAGGCCAAAGAGGTCAGGGAGAAAATAAGGGGGGGGGGGGTAGGCTGTACTGGTCTCTAGCGGCATATAGCTTCAAGCTTGGCTAATGTGCTCTGAGTGTGTGTGTGTCTGTGTGTGTGTGTGTGTGTGTGGGCCTGACCCTTTGTCTGAGCCAATGCTCCGTTACAGTGAGTCATATGAGCTGTAACTAGGAACAGATTGCTGTTTTTATATGAAGCAGGCATTTGTGTTTGTGTTATACTACCCTGGTGACTCTAAAGGTTTTCCTCATGCCCCTTAATGCAGCAGCACACGGTCTGAAACACACACACACACACACACACACACACACACACACACACACACACACACGTTGTGTTATGAGAGACTAAATGAGACAAAGAAACTTCAGCAGTGTAAGAAACACACAGATACACTTTGGACCACCCACTGAGTATGAATGTGTAGTGTCAGNAGTCAGCTTGACTTGCTGTGGGGCCTTTTTTAGGCCCAAACTTAGCCACCTTTAGGCTTAGCCGGGTGACGTGGAAGTTCATGGTGCGTGCTGTAGTTCCTTTATAGGCCTCAACATTAAGCCGACTTTAGCTTAGCGGTGGTGACGTGAAGTCATGCTGACCTTAGGCTGTCGTCCTTTATAGCCCAACGTTAGCCCGAGCCTTTAGTTACGTGGTGACTGTTGAACGTCATCGGTGACCTGTGCGTAGTCCTTATAGCCAAGGTTTAGCCCTTTTTACTTCAAAAGTCATAAAGTGGTTTAAATATGTGGAAGCCATTTATCCTTGCTAACTTAAACGTGTAAGTATTCATTAAACGTGTGTTTGTGACACAGAGGGCTGTATTTTTCTTGCAATCAATTAAAAATCACAGCGGTCCCAGTATTTGGTACCAGGGGGATGCCGTGCCTTTCAGCGGTCCAACACAGAAATACAACATTCTCAGCATCCAATAAAAGAACTTTCATTCACTGACCTTTTTGGGGGTTGACGGAGCGCGGCGCCAGCTGCCAGGGGTGTCTGGGCTCTTGTTGAAAGATGTCGCGTTGGTGCGCTCCGCCTTCTCCAGCCCAGCACCCGGATGATTTCCCCTCGTAGCCAACGCCGCCGCCGATGTGCAGCGCCGTGGCCTCGCCTTTTATCGCTTCTGAAGCTTCCAGACGCGGCACTTCTGCCCACGTGCGTAGTAAACCATCGCCTTTTCACACACTGACACACACACACAACATGTCTATTAGGCAGTAGCAGAAAAACAGCCAGAAGCTAACAGACAAGTAAGAAAAAGGGACGTTGGAAAAAGCGTAAAAAAATTGACGAATACGGATTTTTTTTTATTTATTTTAAATTGGAGAATCTGTATTGCCGGAGATTATTATTTACATTTAATAAATAAATAACAAATTAAACTTCATAATTGAGGGGCTGGAAAAACACATTATTAATCAATAAAAATAAATAATAGTTTAATTAACATAATAAAAACAATATACATACAAAAATATTAAAATAATTTCATTTCATAGATGCAATTTAAAGAAAAGGAAACATAGGCGAGCGCGGTCGTGGCGCCGTGGAAATCCTCTTAATAACAACAAACAACCAAATGGAGTGTTTACTCACGTCTTCGTGGCCCGTACATGCAGGCGAGGTGCCCCAGGCGGGTGTGTTTCCGTTTGGTTGGGTCCCTGAGCGTCGAGTGGTTGGCTTTATAGTGCAGCAGCAGCAGCCCTTACAGACACAAAAACACAACATTAGATATTCAACGTTAATCCTCAGGGACGTCATCGATTACTATCTGATCAGCCCAGAGACACAGTTTCACATATTTACAAACTTCCCAGAAAACCTGAGGCCTTCACTAACGGCTGAGTTGTTCTTAAAGATCGGTTTTGAGGCTAACAACATTACTTTTTTAGGCTGGCTGTGTACCCAGCAAGTCTTTTAACTGTATTTTAAGGCACCTACTGTATTACAATGTCGTTCTTTAACACTATGTCGCTATTTCTCGTTTTATGCATTGTTTTTATGAATGGTATTGTTTCTATTGTATTGTGTTGTCTTCTTCTTAAAGTGGAGCCATATCGCCTAAATTGCACTTTTGTACGTCTTTTACTTTACGATTAAGATACGGCGTTCCCCGGTGTTCCAGCGGGGAACTCACCAAGTTGTCAATAAAATACAACCCTCTTCTCTTTTACCTCTGTTTACTCAAATCTTTTTAAAAGGCGGGGCGCTTACAACGAGCGGGCATTACAGATTCCCATCCGGACCCCGACGTCAAGGCCCAGAATACTGGGCGGCTGACGCCTCCGGCGCTATCAGAGGTCATTTGGGGTTGGGGCCGACGGCCCGGCCATTGCGTGAGATCCTTCAATGCAGTGCGCAATTGTCCTCAAACATTCCTCAACGGTGGGGCGGGAGCTCAACCTTTTTGAGGCACGTGACGCTCGTCCGACTTCCCGTGCTTGCTGCACGTTACCCAGTCACAAAAGCTAAAACATATTTACATACCTTTATTCACTTATAATATTATTATATAATGCTGATCAGGGACGTTGCCACAGGTACGGGCTATTGTTGCCCGGGCAACGGCCCGTTTGCCCTGACCTGCCCCTCTGTTGTGGCCGAATCAACATGATAAGCCCACAAGTATTGTAGCGTCTCTATAAATACACGCGATAAAACACACATTGGCTTGTCAGCGTTGTCATCTGCCGGTGCATTAAAGACCCCCTCTAGTGTCGGATTTTGGAAAATTGATTTTGAGTTTTCTCATGACAGTTAGAGTATAGGCGACAAACCAGGGGACTTTTCTTCCTCTTGACACCGTCTGTTATTTACAGAAAACACCTAAATATACTTGTTATTGTGCTTCTGTCTTTCTGTGTCTTTTCATCTGTAAATTCCCTCGCCCTCTCTCTCTTCTCTTAATCGCCCTCTCTCAGGAGAACACTTCACTGTCCCGCTTCATTGTAGGATTTCTGCCATGTCTCTACTTCAGTTTGACCATCTCTGTTATTAAGTTATGGAATACTAAATAAATAAGTAATTAGATACCGTACCGTTACTGCGCTCATAAAGAATGATAAGAATAATGCGTATTGAACTGGTTTAATTAATTAGTGAGTTTATTTAAGGTAATTAGTTAGAAGCCCTATTTTATCAGTATGTCTGCACAGCAGTTACAATGCTCAAACTACATTAAAACAGAATTGTCCCCATTTTCTCTTTAATATTTAGTAACATTAGATATTTTAATGAGATATGGACCGCAAAACAAAACATTTCCCTGGTTTTCTTTTTATGAACTACCGAATGCAAGTAGTCGCCTTAGCTTTTTTTCTTATGAGATGATAATGTGAATTACTCTTCAAATTAATGTAAAAATCGTTTGGTTTCTTTTGCATTAAAAACAAGTTAGAATTTTCAAAAGGTTTTTTTTTTCTTTTTCGGGGGGGAGGCCCTTTTTCCAGTTTAGAGCAATAGCCCCTCCAAATGTCTGTGCACGTCCCTGATGTTGTTAGACACACTCTATGTGCACCAACAGTTTGGCCTTCACCTTCTGTTGAACTTAGAGCTTCCTAATACTGAGTCCCTAACTGACAGAATGCTTCTTTCACCATCACTGAGCTTGAACCCCCACGTTCTCCTCTCTGTGTTTACATATGCTACGCAAACTCTATTCTGCGTCTTTTACTCTAAAGACCGTTTGCTCTCTGTATTTCTTTCTTGCAAGACATAAAATGTGACAAAGACAGCTTAATGTTTGATTCTTTATCCACATTTGGTAATAAACAAAGGGGAGATCTGTAAGAAACAGCTCATCACTTTGCTAAGCTAATTAGAGAGCTGACGCATAGCCTTCTCACTCACACTGAGGACTGCACTTCATATGGTGTGGTCACAGCCACGAAGAAGAAGAGGAAAGACTACAGCACTGAGAAGCTGGTATACCTACCTGCTACTTCACCTGACTATTACACATGATATTCTTCACCTACGCTGGTGTGTGTGAGTCATGTTTCACCTCAGAGGTATAGGGACTGTAAAGGAAGCAGCAGCCCCGTGTAAAGCAGCAGATTCAGTTACCATCTTACCATAGCCGTTATCACTGTAGGACGAGGGGTGTTCTCCTAAAATGGCCTGTCTCTGCCTTCCCTTTCCACGGTCTGAAACACACACACACACACACACACACACACACACACACACACACACACACACGTTGTGTTATGAGAGACTAAATGAGACAAAGAAACTTCAGCAGTGTAAGAAACACACAGATACACTTTGGACCACCCACTGAGTATGAATGTGTAGTGTCAGCTTTCATGTCTCTGCCTTCCCTTTATTACCCCCTTGTCTCTCGCCTCTCTCTTTCTCAACGGCTTCATTTTCATCTCTCTCTCTCTCTCTCTCTCTCTCTCTCTCTCTCTCTCTCTGGCAGAGAGGAAGCGGTGATGTCATGTCATCATGTCTTACTGGCTCTATATGATGTCGTTTCTACATCTCACCGCTCCCCCCCCCCACATTACAATGGGCTTAATGCACCGTTTCACAATGCCGTAAAAATGCTACTATGCAGCCAGTATGGTGTTTTGCGTGTGTGTGTGTGTGTCCGTGTGTGTGAGAGAAAGTGATAACAGTGAGATCACAATAGTCCTGTCTTTACATAACCACTGTGCTAACAGCAAAGTGGGACAGCTAGAGAGGCAGCAAAACATTAGAGTGTGTCTGTTTTGGATTTTGCATTCCCTTTATTTGAGCGTGTGTGTGTGTGTGTGTGTGTGTGTGTGTGTTTGTGTGTGTGTGTGTCAAGGGTCAGATCGACGGGGAGATGATTTAAGGAAGAGATATGCAGGAGAAATTGAGAAAGACGGGCATGCAGTGCGGATTGTTAGTGAAGACGGAAGACGGAGAGATTCGGTTTTTCACCTCTGCCAAACACTTAAATCCAGGCTGTATGCTGAAAATCGATCGAGACCTTCTGTTATCAAGGTCACTTCAACTGTTTCTCAGAGGGAAAGCTTTTCTGGGGAGCCCAATGAGAGAGGAACACAATTGTGTCCTGTGAGGAAGTCTCTAATTGGAATGTGTGTCGTGTACAACGACGCTTGGCTGAGCAAAGACATCCCACTTAACAAATATGTGTTGCACTGGCTCGTGTGTCCTCGATGTGCAGCCTTTCATCTCTCTGAAGCAGAAAGGAAAGGATGGAAATGAAGGAAGCGCGGAAGTATTAACTGGGAATTAAAAATAATCCAATGATAGATACGCAGTGGATTTTGGGTAATGGTGGGAAGGTGTATAAAATGATAGAAGAGAGGGAGAGAAGGTGGTGGGTTTATTGTGATTAGATACTGTTTATTGGCATTGTCCCCTTTCATTGGACCATTTTCTATATACATTTTACAATCAAGCTTTATGTGAACTAATGATGTTGAGAATCACAGCATCCATTTGATGTAATGGTTAATCTACTGTGGAGATTTTAATTAAGTTTTATTTTTCTTGAATCTTAAATTCTCCAGTGATTGCTGGTAAGCAAGGAGCTACGGGAATGAAAACGTAACCTTGCAATATTGCCGATTACTTCCCAAAGCTTTTGTCTTTTAGGTGGTTGTACACCGATAATAGTAGCTTAGGTGATTGTAACAGTCAATCATTGGTATCTCCTATAAACATATCAAAAGGCCTTGTGCAACACATTGAAGCTTAGATTCTTCCCTATTTGTGTGAAATGTGGGGTGTAATAAAACATCCTCTGCTCGATCAATTCAAATAGCTTTAACATTTTGGAACACACTTTATAAATAATACAGTACAGAGATGGCTGTTTTAAGCTGTATACTCTAGATCTAATGAACTCCCCAAAGTTTCTTGCTTTGGTTTGACTCCAACATCTCTGTCAAAAAAACAAATAGCTTGTGTTTTCTTGATTTCCAATTCATGTATCCCTGCCTTCACTGTCATCCTTCCTCCAGCCTGTGGCCCAGAAAGGAATTGAGGTTCTTCATTTTGTTTTAAAGTAGAACAAGAGAAAATCTGACTAATGATGAAGCAAAAACCTCAGTTTTCAGTGTTTCTGCAGTGTTGTGCTCCTTATATTTCCTCCAAAATGTGAAGTTTTTGTGGTGAGGCATCCTGAACTTGTTTACAAAGCTGTGTTGGCTGGTGCTGATGGGCTGATGCAACACTTTAAAAAACAATTATTGGTTTCTCATTCACACTGACTGATTACCTTCAGTGACTGTATTAGACGTCTCTGGAGATGTGTGTGCTGCTGGTAAATGAATGGGAATTAATGAGCCTGAGAGGTATGGCAAGAAGTACTTAGAAATGTATTTAACTGTGTGCATTAAAACAGAATTAACAATGAAGAGATGAAAAATGAAAAAATATGTGTAAAAAGTTCAAGTGGTTTTTTTCCCCTCTATGCAATGCATTCAGAAAAATGCATAAGCCAATCCGATATCTGGAGCACACACTCTTTATAGATCATTATGTAAAGTGAATGTAATAATACTATTCTTTATGAGATGAGGCAGAATGATTGTTGTCTTGCCTCTGGGTTTAATTTCATCGTCCCACCTAAACCTGAGGCAAAGTGCCCGCATCCTTCTTGTGTTTTCTAAAAAGGAAAACCTTTTTTGAAATACAATTAACGATGAAGGTACAACCAGCAGCTTTTAAGATAAGCTTAGCATAAGGTGTGTAAGGGAAAGAGTAAGGCGGGCCATGTCAAATAGCAAACTTTTATGTCCTAAGTTAATGACAAGATTTAACAAATCATGTCTTACATATTAATTAAAGAGCTTACATACTGCTAGGTGGAATCTGTTCTCTTTCGGATACAGGCAGGCTAGCAGTTCCCCCCGTTTCCAGTCCTTATGCTAAGCTAACCGTCTGCTAGATGTAGCTTCACATTTAACAGACAGATCTAAGTTGTAATTTATCCTTAATCCTACTAGTCAATCTTTCAGTTTGTGTGTACAGACAGGGAGATCGAAATATCGTTTCCCACAATCCTGAATACGAAAAAAGAAAAAGATGCATAAAAACATGTACACAAAATGGCGGGTCAGGGAGTCAAACCAGCAACCTCCCAGCCTGTAATCCATCTTCTCACTGGGCCCAGTCTACTGCAGCTCCCATGTCGTTTAAAAAAAGATTATCACTCAGCAGGTCGCACTGCTCCCCTTCATATTTAAAGACTTTATCAGGATCATTATTCAGGAAGTGAAAGTTAAAAACTGATGAATAAGGATAATGCTCTCTGCCATTGTGTGACGGGGAGTGGCAGTCATTAGCAGGAGGTATTAATAGACA